CTTGGGAACATCCACATCAGTTAAATCATTCCAAACTGGGTGTTTGGGTACCACGGATAAAAATTCTTGCACCCACCTTGGTAATTCAATGCACTCTAAAGCTATGACTTACCTGTCATCCTATTTGCGTACCGGTCTATTTTGTGTTTCTGAGAGTTTTTTAATTTTGTTTTTGTGGGTTCCATTCACTGTGCTTGAATTGTTTCTGTTCACATTTATAATGAAGTGCAAAACTGACGGCCAAAATTCTTCATCAACCATCCGCAGCACTGTCACTCTCGCTTTCCATAACTTGTGTCTAATGCTCTTCTCGTAATTTCTAGCCTTATTTATTTCAGTTCCGAGTAGTTTAGCTGAAAACAATGAACCGTTTGGTAAAAAAAAACATTTTCCGGCACCCGGAATTGCAAAAAGTCCGCTATGATATCGTTTTGAAAGCCGTTTTTCAGAAATTCAAGTCTTTCAAAACTATTATTTAGTTTAAGATAATTTTAAAGATAACCTATCAATATTTTCCACGAAATTTTATTTTTCGGTGTCAGTCGTGAAATTGACAGGGGAAGAATTATTGAGTTCATTACTTCGCAGGCCAAGAGGAAGTAAGCTCCCGGGGTACAAGGCAAAGAACAAACAAAACAATACTAACAGTTTGATGAAGTACCATCCGCTTAATTCCTCTCTTTCCGTTCCTCTAGTGCCTTCGCTCTTGTCTGCGAGGGTCTGTTTTTGACTGATGTTGTCTTGCCAATCGGTCCCGGTAGATTTCCTGATTCTCCACTACCAACCTGAGCGACTTCAACTCCAGGGCACTATCTTGGTGAAGCTCCAAATGCTCTCTCACCAATTCTGGCTCGTGTTTTCTCTTCCTCTTCGATAAAAGGTACTTGGTCATGATTACTTTTCGGCCAATACAAAACAAATAAAATTTGAAATTAAAAAAATGACTTTTTTAAAAATTGGAAAATGAGAAAAATCGAAAAAAAATTTTAAAAAAAATTGAATTAAAAGATGAAATTGAGAGGAAGTCTCAGAAACTCAAGTCTGATGATATAATCATGATATAATTTCAGCGCGAATTTCAAAATTGCAAACTTTTGGTTGGTTGAATTCTTTTTATTTTGTAAAGCCAATGTCTTAAGATATTTTTATGATCGATGATCATTTTATAAAATGTTATTACTTTTCAACGTGCTGATGCACAATTGTTCGAAAATGTTCATAATTTTAATTTTCTTAACTACTTGTCGTGACCAAAAAAAGATTTTGCAAGCAAGTTACGAAATTTAACCAGTGTTCAATTGGTTTTCACCACAAGAAAATTAGAATATTGTTTACCATCGCTGAATTCAGCATTTTCTAAGGTCAAGAGTGGTTATAAACTTTCATGCAGAGGATGCACTTTCACCTATGTCGGACAAACTGTTCGACATTTGACCACTAGGGTTGAGAAACCAAAGAAAACAGGCTCACCTGGAGGTCTCCATCTTCAGCAAGGCAGGCTTGAGGGAAATAGCGCAGATAATAGTTAAGTAATTATAGATAGGTCGAGTAACCAAACAAAAATGTTAACATTACAGGCATACATATCAGGAAAGAGAAACCGGACTTGAACACGCGCGAGGAGCAGGGAGTTAACACTGAAAATTCAGTTCCAATTTGTTTTTGGTTTTTCTTTGGAAGCGTTCACTCTAAATGGAAAGTATGACTCAGATTATTGCCTACGAAATCATTTTAAATCTTTCAATTATTTTAGGAGGTTAAAAGTGTTTTAATCTGAATAGTGATTTGAGAGGTCAATTTTGATTAGCTTTTCTTATCATGTTGATTTAGAATCAAAATTCATGTGAATCATTGTAAATAACATTTGTAAATTGATGTTTTATCATCATTTAGATTAGTTTATTAAAAAAATTCTGACGTTGCACATAGTTGCAAAAACGTTTGAAACTTACTTTTTATCAAAAATGTCTTCTCTATAGTTATGTAAATTTTGTAATAATGCTTAAATTTGATTGGTGGAATGATTTGATTTTTTGTTTTGAAGCGCTTTACTGTCTTTTATGATGTTTTAACGTCTGTAAAGAATTTTATATCAATTTTAATAACCTGAAGATGGACATAGCTCCAAAAATGTTCGAATTTATATTTTAATAGTTTTTCTTCGTAAAAAAGGTTCTTGGGTTGTTAATTCAAAAAGGTGCTTGTCTAAATGGAATCGAAACTATGTCTCAAAAACTTCCAAATAACTTAAATAAAATTTTTTGAAAGATTTTCAGAGGTTAAAAGTATTTTAACCTCAATAATTTAAGAAGTCAACTGTGATTGGCTAATTTTTAACACATTGGCTTAAAACCAAATTTTGTTTCAAAAAGTTTCAAAAACCGAAAAATTTGTATAAGGAAACACTAAGTAAGATAAAAAATCTGAGAAACTTAAGGAAAACTAAAAATTACAAAATTCTTACGTAATATTGCTAAAATTTGATTGGTGGAAAGATTTTATTTTTTATTAAGAACCACTCAATGGTCTTTTATGATGTTTCAACGGCTGTAAATCATTTTATATCAATTGTTTTAACCTGACGATGAACATAGATCCGAACATAGATCTGAACATAGATCAGTTTTCTTCCTAAAGATTTGTTTGATTTATTAAATATAAAGTTTGTAAATTGACGTTTTATTGCCATTTAGATTAGCTTATGGTCAAAATCCAAACGATGCACATAGTTGCGAAAACGTTTGAAATTTACTTTTCATCAAAAATATTTTCTCTATATTTAGGTAAATTTTGTAATAATGCTTAAATTTGATTGGTGGAATGATTTGATTTTTATTTTGAAGCACGTTACTGTCTTTAAGGATGTCTTAACGTCTGTAAAAATTTTTATATCAATTTTAATAAAGCTCCGAAAATGTTCGAATTCATATTTTAACAATTTTTTTTTCGTAAAAAATGTTTTTGGGTTATTAATTCAAAAAAGTGCTTGTCTAAATTGAATCGAAACTATGTCTCAGAAATTTCCAAACAACTTAAACAAAGTTTTGTGAAATAATTTCAGAGGTTAAAATTATTTTAACCTGAATAATTTAAGGAGTCAACTGTGATTGGCTAATTTTTAACATAATGGCTTAAAACCAAATTGTGTTTAAAAAAGTTTCGAAAATCTAAAAATTATAAGGAAACGCTAAGTAAGATTAAAAACCTGAGAAATTTAAGGAAAACTAATGATTACGAAATTCTTACGTAATATTGCTAAAATTTGATTGGTGGAAAAATTTTATTTTTCGTAAGGAACCACTTAATGGTCTTTTATGATGTTTCAACGTCTGTAAATTATTTTATATCAATTTTATTAACCTGACGATGGACATACTTCCGAATTCGCCTTTTAATCAGTTTTCTTCTTAAAAATTAGTTTTATTATTAGTACATAAAATTTGTAAATTGACGTTTTATCGTCATTTAGATTAGTTTATGGTCAAAATCCTAATGATGCACATAGTTGCGAAAACGTTTGAAATTTACTTTTCATCAGAAATTCTTTTTAATTGTGCCTCCTCTCATGCTGATAAACTATGTGCGGGGAGCGTATTTGTCTTTGCTTCTAGGCTTTCAACTATACCGGGAGAGTCGACGAGATTACAAGGCAATGTAACAGTCGCCTATTTAAGTCACATATGAGATTAAAGAAAAATGGGCCCTATAACCATTGGCTCAAGAGTCAGGGACACTATCTTTTGTGTTTTTCTATCTCAAACGGTCGGAGCCAATTCGGTTCACTTGCGACATTAGACTAACACCTTTGTTACAGCTTAAAGGCCACTACCAAACCCCCCCACCCCACTCTAGAAAATAAGAACGTCCCCATACCTAGGTCTCAAAATACCTAAAACACGCGAACGCCGTTAAAAACAGGGTCGGACAATCCGTATAGTTACTTTTTATTAGACAGTGGAACTTTGATTCATTTCAGATGGATCAACCTAAAACTCTCCTTACCTCAACAAAACAAAACAAAAAAACTCAAGAAATTTAAATTGGGTACTCACATACCGTCACACTCTAGAATTTGAGGAACTTGATTAACAAGTAACTCTAGAAAAACTAGGGAATTAAGTTTGACTCGAGTAGTTTTAAATTAATAAGTTTCAGCTTGAGAAATGAATTTTGGGGCTGGACCTTTGGGAGACTTCGGCTGTCCACTTTTCCACCGTAGGTTCACCATGGTTCAATACTGATTCGCTTTCTTCTCCACTCGCGATCACTCTGTCTTCTGTTAAGAATGAGACAGCTCTACTCTCGTATAATCTTATATCTGGAAATTGCGAATAGCAATTTCCAGCTGTTTTTTCGACTACTTTCACGCGATTGTAGTTCGTTTCTTCTGATATTTTCAGTTGTCGCGAGAAACTTGAGCATGACATGCTCAAATCGAATTTTTGAGAAATTCCATTTCACCCCAAAATCATGTTTCTTGCGTTGTCCAAGGTCAAACTTCCAAATATGACCGACTGGCACACAACAACTAAATTCTTGGCCTGCAAACAGCAATCTATCTGTTTGAATAGATTCTATCATGTCCTCCTTTTTTTTATAGTACATTAGATACGTTGTCAATCCAGCCGAACTTGTTTATCTGTTCGAACCACAATGGAGTCATGATTCGAACCACAATTAAAAAATTTTCAAAAAAATTTACTAGCGTCGAGAAAAACCGGTTTAAAGTTTTTTGATTTTTCGTCATATTTCGAAGGAATAAAACGAGCAAGCAGTCTTATTTTAATTGTTGAAAAGCTTACAATAGCCTAATTTAAAGCGTAAAAACTTAGTTTTTTTTGAGTAACGTTAATTTAATTTGAGTATTTTAGCGCCTCTTCAAATTTTTTGTTTTTCTAATCACTTTTCTTTGAAAAATTGTGTTTCAATTTGTTTATTTTACTATGACTGTCGAATATACCTTATCCCCAGATTTTTGATCAGCTCCTTTATTACACCACGCCGAAAAAAAACGACAATATTTCAAAAAAGCGTTGTTGTATTTTTTAGACAATGGTCGGAACATTCTGTGCTTATTGCACAGTAACCGGCTATCCTTGTTTATTACTAGTCATGTTTTCAACTTTTCAGAAAAAAATAGAATTCCGTTTAGATTCGTTTTCAAGATTTCCTGATTGTTTGATGACAATTGGACATGCGTCGCAACTGTATCATTTTATGTAGTTAAGTTGTTCTTTATGAGGGATCTAGAAACCCTGGAATTTTGCCGCGCCAATGGGCTGTGCTTTATCCCACGAGAAAGATGACGTGGACCCCAAAAAGCATGTCGAAAATATCTTCCCGAATTCCGAAAAAAATGTCTTAAATTTCCAAAATGAGACTCAACAAACTGCCATTAATGAAGAAAAGGAGAAACATTTAGAAGACAGAGAGTTCGATACGAAAACAAAAACTCCCGATAGTCAGAATCAGGAGCGAGTCAGCAGTTCGCAGTCGAAGCAGAGAAGAAAACCATTTGTAAGGGACAAGTTTGATCCCAGAGTGCTGCAGAAATATGAAGTGAAAGCTTTGATTGGCAGAGGAAGTTTCAGCAAGGTAAAAAGTTTTTCACTGTACTTAGTCATAATTGTTGGAAAAAATTGACTGCAAATTGATGTTGCGTTTTTTTCCCACCATTTGAAAAATGTCGAGGAACTTCGTATTCGGGTGTTTTAATGTTTCTTTTTTTTTCACTTTTTTGTCTTCCGTGCAAAATCAGCTACCACAAACAATCATCGGAATGATTCCAATGATAAATCATTTTAAAGACTTTTCAGTGGTGATTCGACAACTTCTAAAATCTCCAAAAAATTTTCCCAGTGTCGAAAAAACCGGCTTCAACTTTGTTTTTCGTCTAATTTTGACCGAATTAAGTGATTGTTAAATTGTTCAATTAGGTTAAAAAACTTGTTTTTTTCCAACAAAATTCAGTGCTGAAAGCTTTGGCACTTCCCTGGCAACAAAATTAAAAAAAAAATGTTGTGCTAAAAATAGAAATAATTTCGATTTTTTTTTGTTTTTTTTTTGAATGTTTTGTTTATTTTTTTTTGAAGCTAATCGTTGCTGATTATGCCCTCTTTACTAGCTTGACAATCGTTTTTGTTTATGCCTATTTTTTAATTTCAAAAAAATTGTGCAAAAAATAAAATTTTCTATTTTTTTATTTGTTTGTTTTTCTAGTCATTTGTCTTCAAAAACTGTTGTCCAGTTTGACTATTTTACTATAAATGAGTATTATGCCGAATCTTTTCGTCTAATTTTGACCGAATTAAGTGATTGTTAAATTGTTCAATTAGGTTAAAAAACTTGTTTTTTTTCCAAAAAAAGTTTAGTGCTGAAAGCTTTGGCACTTCCCTGGCAAGAAAGTTTTAAAAAAAAATGTTGTGCTAAAAAAAGAAATAATTTCGATTTTTTTTGAATTTTCGTTTTGAATGTTTTGTTTGTTATTTTTTTTGAAGCTAATCGTTGCTGATTATGCCCTATTTACTAGCTTGACAATCGTTTTTGTTTATGCCTTTTTTTTAATTTCAAAAAAATTGTGCAAAAAACAAAATTTTCTATTTTTTTATTTGTTTGTTATTCTAGTCATTTGTCTTCAAAAACGATTGTCCAGTTTGACTATTTTACTATAAATGTGTATTATGCCGAATCTTTTCGTCTAATTTTGACCGAATTAGTGATTGTTAAATTTCTCATTTAGGTTAAAAAACTTGTTTTTCTTCCAAAAAAATTTAGTGCTGACAGCTTTGGCACTTCCCTGGCGAGAAATTTTTTAAAAAAAATGTTGTGCTAAAAATAGAAATAATTTCGATTTTTTTGAATTTTCTTGTTGAATGTTTTGTTTGTTTTTTTTTGAAGCTAATCGTTGCTGATTATGCCCTATTTACTAGCTTGACAATCGTTTTTGTTTATGTCTATTTTTTAATTTCAAAAAAATTGTGCAAAAAATAAAATTTTCTATCTTTTTATTTGTTTGTTTTTCTAGTCATTTGTTTTCAAAAACTGTTGTCCAGTTTGACTATTTTACTATAAATGTGTATTATGCCGAATTTTGAGTGTTTGTTGTGTGTTTGTGCCAGCAACAAGATAATTTTTCCAGAAGCCATTAAGTGCTTGCAACGTCACTATTGAACGTAAAATAACATAAAACTAGTCGGAAAGAATTCAGAAGTGAGGTTGTGTACCGTACTGAGATTTGACATCAAACTTATTCAGCGAAAACATTGCTTTTTAATAAGTTGCCTGATAATAATTTTGATGGCATGATTTACGCTAAGTCTGTCGGCTATGAAATTTTGTTTTGACGCGAGTATTATTGGAAACGCGTATTATTTATTATGGTAATAGGGATCACTCTAAAAACATGCCTGCTCCAGAGATAACTTGCAGATGCGAGAAAAAAATCGACACTGAAGAGGCGGGTTTTAACAGATTTTGACCGTGCCAACAACAAGATGGTTTTTCTTGTTGCTATACAATGCTTGCAAGGTGTATTCAGATCTGCTTTGGTATTGAACGTCAAGTTGGATAAATTTAGTGGGAAAGAAGAGTAGTTATGTACCGTATTGAATTTTGACATTCAATTTAATCAGTGAGAACATAGATTTTTATTGAGTTGCTTGATAATAATTTCGATCAGTGGAGTATTTTAAGTAAAATGCTTTGTAGTTGGTTTTAATTTTTCAAGAAGTTTTATTCAAGTTAAATTCTACCATCGATACCGGGCAGTTTTCTGGGTTATCACACTGCAATGCCAGTTTTCAATAACGGCTTGGGACGTCAGCCGAACTAGCTAGAAGCCTTTGAAGTTTTTTTTTGTAAAAATCAGCTCGAATGATGTGGAATATCTTTGATATGCGAGATTCTGACAGAATAACCGACGATGAGCTACGAACGGAGTTTTGGCAATGAAAAATTTATTCGCTGCCTGTGTCATTATGGATGCATATTTTTTATGGTGATATGGATTAGTGTGAAGAGATGCCAGGATGAGAAATATCTTGCAATGTAAGAAAAAATCTACACTGAAGACTCCAGCTGGTTTTCTACAGATTTGAGCTTGCAATTACAAGATGATATTTCAAGACGCCACAAACTACTGGCAAGGATTATGCAAGTTGGCTTCATATTTGAGTGAATCAAGATAAAACTAGTGGGAAAGAGTTCAGAATAGTGGTTTATAAGTTACTTGATAAAAATTTCCGTAACTGGCTCAGTTGAAGCAAAAAACGTTGTATGTTGATTATGCTTTTGCTAGAAACTTTAATTAGGCTAATTTATACCATCGAAATTTGATGGATATTTTCGTGAATGAAACACTTTGCAATTCCCTTTTCCATTAGCACTACAAGACGGCGGTTGAACTAACATCTCGCTTTCGAAAGTTTTTCAACATTAAGCTTGAATGAAGTGCATCTTCCTTGATATGCGCGATGGTTGCTACGAACATTTAGAATAACCGACGAGTTGCTAGAATAACCGACGAGTTGCTAGAATAACCGACGAGTTGCTACGAACGGGGATTTGCAAATGAAAATTTAGTCTGAAGCCAGTATCATTGGGGATGCGTATTTTAAAATTGTGATGTTGAAGAGATGTCAGGACGAAAAATTACTTGCAGATGTGAGAAAAAAGTCTACACTGAAGACTCCAGCTGGTTTTCTACAGATTTTGATCGTGCCAAAACAAGATGATATTTCCAGACGCCAAAACAAGATGATATTTCTAGGATTATTCAAGTTTGTTTCAATTGTGAGTGTGAATCAAGATAAAACTAGTGACAAAGAGTTCCGAACAGTTGTTGTGACTCTTACTAAACTTTGATTTTCAACCGAATCAGTGAGCGTTTTTGAATTGCTGGATAATAATTTTGATCAGTGACGTAATTTAAGCTAAATACGTTGTACGTTGATTATTTTTTTGCTTGTAACTTTAAGCTAAACTCTACCATCGACTAGGTGGATGTTTTCTTGAATAAAGTTTTTTGCAATCCCCATCTTCATGAATACCACGAGAGGTCAGTCGAACTAACAACGCGCATTCGAAGGTTCTTGAAATTAAGCTCGAATAAAATGCATCATCTTTAATATTGGAGACGGTGACAGAATAACCGATGACGAAATTCGAACGGGGATTTGCAAATGAAAAACTCAATTGAAGCCAGTATCATTTGGGATGCGTATCTTTAATTGTGATATGGATTACTGTGAAAAAAATGCCAGGACGATAAATAACTTGCTGCTTGAGAAAAAAATCTTCTACACTGAAGACCCCGGCTGGTTTTCAACAGATTTTGACATGATGAAATTCCCAGGTGCCACAAATTTCTCGCAACGAGTATTGAAATCTGCTCGAATGTTGAAATCAAATAAGATAAAACTAGTACGAAAGAGATCAGAAAAGTGGTTGCGTACCCTATTGAACATTGAATTTGAAAATTTTCAGTGAACAAAGTTAGTACGTTATTAGGTTGCTGGATAATAATATTGATCAGTGATGTGATTTAAGCAATTTTTTTGTTGTATTCTGATTAGATTTTGCCAGAAGTTTTCCTCAAGCTAAATTCTACACTCGACACGCTAAATTCTACAATCGAATCTGCTTTGGTATTGAACGTCAATTAAGATAAAAAACTAGTGGAAAAGACGATTGGTTGTGTACCAAAGACGAGTGGCTGTGGACCAATGCTTAACTTCTTCACTGAAAAAGTTGAACTTCAGTGAATTGCTTGATGGAAACTTTGATCAGTGGTTTGATAAAAGCAAAGCTCATGGATTGTTGATTATACTTTTATGAGAAATTTTCCTGAAACTAAATTTTTTCATCGACACCAGGTGAATTTTTGTTCTTAAAAATGTTGCAATCCCCTTTTTCAATAACACCATGGGACATCGGACGAACTAACATCACGCATTCAAAATTTCTAGAAAGTTAATCTCAATTGAACTGCATTAACTTCGATATGCGAGATGCCGTTGACGAGCTACAAGCGTGATATACAGTAGAGAGGTTTTGTACCATACTGAGCTTTGAAGTTCAACTTTTTCAGCGAACACATTGAACCTCCATAAGTTTTTTTTTTTATTTTGACCAGTGGCATGGTGTAAGCTAGGTTCATTGTTTGCTTGGAGTTTTCATTAAGCGCTTTCTTCCATCGACACCAGCTGGATAAATTCTTGAATAAAACACTTGGGAATCCCCGTTCTAATAAAACCATAAGACGTCAGACGAACCAACAACACGCATTCGAAACTTCAAGAAAAGTAAGCTTGAATTAAGTGTAATGTCTTCGGTATGCGAGATGGTGACAGAATAACCGACAAGAGCTCCAAACGGAGATTTGCAATCGAAAAATTTAATTGACACCAGTATTATTGAGACGTGTATTTTTTATTGTGATATGGAAAGATTACTCTGAAGAGATGCCGGGAAGAGAGATAATTTGCAATGAGAAAAAAATCCTTTGAAGAATCAGGCTGATTTTAAACAGATTTTGATTGTCCAACAACAAACTGAAATTTCCAGATGCCACAAGGTGCTTGCACGGAATATTCAAATCTGCTCTAATTTCGAATCGAATCGAACAGTAGTCAAATCGAAGAGTAGTTGTGTACCGTCTTAAACTGTAACCTTCGATTTGACTTCGAAAATCAGAACAGCAAATAATTCTAATCTCGACAGCCGAAGACTGCTCTTTTTCTTCCCCCCTCCAACTTGCAAATTTTTATTAGGAAAATTTCGTTCGAATTGTTTGATTGCTACAAAACTTCGATGTTTTCATTTGAGACAACCACCGACAAGCTAAGACACTCGTCTCGACAGAGCTTAGAATAAGATTAAGGGACACTACCCTAACTCCTCTCGATTTTTTTTAAAATTTGCGATGGGCCGACTGTACAGTGCACTGTTTGTGCACAGTCTGCTACAATTTAACAACATCAGGGTATTTATTGATTAGTGCGCTTCATTTTTTTTTTTGGTGATACTGTTCCTAAAAACCCGACTTAGACTAAAAGTTATCAAAATCCGAAATCCAAATGGATACGTACTCTTTGCTAAAATCTGTTTGGAAAACTCCACGTTTCTGTCATCTGAATCAAGTTATTAATGGCTTCAAAGTTACATTTTTTGCTAGCTCATGTGATCAAACAAAAGGCTCTCTGACTCGTGATTAAAGGCTTTTTGAATATTAAAAATGTTCTACTAATCTTTGGTTCCGTTACTCAATTTCTCCCTTATATAACAGAATCCCTACATTTTCGAGTTTGCATTACTCAATGCCAAACTGCTGAAAATATAAGTGATATTGTGCAATTTAAAGTTCTAAAAATCTTGCTTTAATGTTAAACCGATACAAAAACTAGATAAATATCAAAATGAACCAAAGCAAATCCTATCAGTCACATCAATAACCAGGCATAATTTGGAATACGAGGACGAGTAAAGGAATGCGATGACAATGATCCGAGAAAACGTCAAGAGCACGATATCATGAATTGTAAAAATAGTTGCTCTTATGGAATGTGAATGCAACTTCAACGGTCGAATCGGACTAGGCCAAAGAGTAACGGCCAAAATCAAACATATTTTTTAAACTGCAAAAGTTTTTCAAAGTCTGTTTTCAGGGTTGTCATGTTAATAACAAGGTGTTATTAACATACCTATATTTAACATGTTATTAACACAATATTTTCAACAATTCGAGCTTTCATTTCGAATGCAGTCGTTTTCATATTTCATCGAAGAAATTGGTCGACTAGGCCACTGCTCTTTCCTCCAGAGCTACATTAGAGCGGTGTTTCTGAATTCTTGGACTCACCTATGGAAAATTCGAAATTCTTGGGGCGTCGAGAAGGCTGGAAAGCTAGCTTTTCTCTTTAAACAACTCACTGAGAGATTTTAAAACTCAAATTTGTTTTTAACGTGTTTTTTTTTTCATATATTTAACATGTTAACATGTTGAAAACGTTTTAGTTAACAATATGACAGCCTTGTATGTTTTGAATTTTAACGCCATTTCAAAGTCTCGAGGTCAGAAAAATTTCAAAAACTTAAGACGTCAGATAAATTCGTTATGTACTATATTACTGGATTAGATAGTCTTCTGGAAAATAATGCGTGGGTGTTTATTTTGCATTTAGGTGGTGAGGGTAGAGAACAGAAAAACGCGGCAACCGTACGCGATTAAGATGATCGAAATGCATCCGGGCGGTGGCCGTGACCTGTTTCTGGCTGAAGTGAGCGTGCTTCAGAGGGTGAGACATGACAATGTTGTCAAGCTATATGAGGTGCTAGAGACGAGAGATCGCTCATATCTGGTTATGGAACTAGCAACGGGTGGAGAGTTGTTCGACCGAATTGTTGCTAGAGGTTAGTCGCCTTATGACAAATTTCTGATCACTGATCTAAAACCGTTTTTTTAGCTGTTTTTTTATTACAGTTTTTTTTATCATTGCTCCAGGGGCGGATTTAGGGGGGGGGGGGGGCGGGGGGGGCGGACGCCCCCCCCCCCTCAGGGATTCGACCCCCTGCCGACCCAAAGGGTCCCCCCTTTGATACTTTTTCAGAAATCCATTTTTGGCCGACCGACCCTAAATTTTTTCTAAAGGCGCCTTCGGCGCCAATATATACTAACTTTGAGGGGGAGCGCGCGCCAAAAAAAACGCGATTTTTTTTCGTCAAAATTTTTCAAAAATTGCCCAAAAACGGCTTTTTTGACTGTTTTTTCAAAAATTTGCCTGCGGCGCTGAAAATTTAGCCAAAGTAGGGCCAAAACAGTGCTTTGGGAGAGCTCGAAAAATCAATTTAGTCGACCTAAAAAAAAAAAAAGGTCGTCAAAATTTTTTGAAAATCCGCCCCCCCCTCGAGAAAATCCTAGATCCGCCCCTGCATTGCTCTAAAACAAGTTTTTTTTAGGGAAGGCAGGGAAATATTCAAGGGGTCCACGGAAAAAAGTTTGGAACGTTGGTTTTAACTTAGTATTTGAGCTGCATTTTGTGTCACTTTGTAGGTCACTTTACGGAACGTGATGCCGTGCACTGTATGGGTATGGTACTAGAAGGAGTGGCGTATCTTCACAAGTTAGGCATAACCCACAGAGACCTGAAGCCAGAGAACCTCTTATTCTACCACCCGGGACATGACTCCAAGATCATCATCACCGACTTCGGACTGAGTTGCTCGAGGAAGAGTGGACAGAACCAGTTGATGAGAACCACTTGCGGAACCCCAGAATACATCGCACCAGGTCTGTTGTTGTTGTCTACCTAATTCATTGGTCATCGGTGCCTGTAGTGATAATGGGAATCGGATAGTTTCGGGGCGTCCTCGCAAATTACACTGCAGCTTAGCTGGAGGACAGTTGTTTTTTAACTTTGATTATTTTTCTGAATGGCTCATAATCTACGTGGTTTATATATTTTAAGCTATAAAGACATCGTTAAATATTTATTTGCAGTTAAGTGGTAATTTTTTTGCTTCCATCCAGCGTTGCGTTCAGGGCGCTATATTGTATGTTAAATAGTTCGGTTTTCAAGTCGTCTTTGACGGTTTGAAATTCCTACTTGGACTTGTTCACGTTCTGCTGCTTGAGCACAGTTGGGTGCCGAACATCCAAATAGCTTCCACCCAATTTTGGTATCAGAGTAGGCGACGGTACGAGGAACAGTTAGTAGAGGTAGTAAACGCTAAATGAACAAGTTCAAGTTTGGTATTTGAAACGAACAAGAGGGACTACGACTAGCGAGTTTCAGATAGAGACAACGATTAATTTTTTACAATCTGCAGCCAATTATGTCAGGTTTATAAATTTGAACCGGGTAATTTTAAGGTGTATATTGTCATTAAACTGATATACGTACCACTGAAATTGTCAGGTTTTCTAAGTGACGTTTTTCTGTCGTAAAAACATGAAATATTTTTATTATTTGAATTTTTGCTGTTTTCGTTTTTGCTACGCTTATTTAGTTTTTGTTTCTTTCATTGCCATACTTCTATAATTATTAGGTTCTCGAATATCCTCGTGTTTAGGACAGCACTTTGCAATCCAAATAGATTCGTTTGCTGTCCTCTCCGAGTTGCAAAAAAAAACTTTTTAAAAATTATCTTCAGGTGAGAAACTAATTATTCTTTCTTTCTTTCTTCTTCACGATAGCTACATTGCTTATATAATAACTTAATACAAGGCGACGAATTTCTGGGCATAATTACCCACTTGCATCTATCTAGATATGACGCATCAAGATCCTCAAATTTATTCTAGAAATTTCCTCAGAATCAGCTGATTGTTTATATTTTTTGAAAAAGAACAGTTGGAAAAAACTGTTTAAAACATGTTAAAGCATGTTTCAAACAGCCCTTGTTTTTGTGCCAACTCTGCATGTAATCAAGGTCCCGAAAAGGACCAGGATTTTTTGATTTCTGGCTTTTAACACGATACTTCTATAAGATATTTCTGTAATTTTGAAAACGACCCTTCTGTGTCCTCGTTTTCAAAATTACAGAGATATAATTCAAGTTTTTTGTTCAACAGTAAAATAAACGGAATTGGTTTTAACAGAAAAGTATAGGCTTTCTATCTGGGTTACTTCTACATATTCCGCTTGGAACATTCGGTGAGGGGTTACAAAGAAGCTGGTAGCGGTAATTGAGAATAACAGAACATTAGTATAACAGAAAATCAGTATGGGTGGTTTGATAGTATACAGAATTAGACAAAGTAAAAAACATACAGGGGCAATTATGACATCAACTGAGTGAACCGGTGCACGACTAATGCAATTTTTTTTGTGTTAATTGTAGGATTTGTTCCCGTTTCCATTTTCACTTCAGTCCATTGACTTTTTGTAGCTAAAATTTAAACCTTTTTCAATAACTAATATTCAGTGATAGAAAGAACATTACTAGAGACAACATGGAATCGAACCTGGGATCAATGGAGCAAAAACTGTTTATTGTTCTGTTTGTTCAGAGATCCTGATGCGAAAGCCATACAGTTGTGGTGTGGACATGTGGGCTGTTGGTGTGATCTGCTACATCCTCTTAAGTGGCACGATGCCATTCGACGATGACAACAAGACTCGCCTCTACAGAGCAATAATCCGTGCACACTATTCCTTCCGACAACCAGTTAGTTACATAGCGTAATAGCATGAAGTTCTCAGGTTGTTCCAGTCTGAGAACAGGATGTTCCAAGTAGCAAAGGATGTTCCAGTCATATTCTTTAAAAAATAAACGAGAGCATAAAACTTCAGCGTATTCGATAGTAATATTCATAAATAAGCATATTGGAGGATATTTTTTTCAAAAATGACCAGAAACCAAAAAACTTAGTTTGAAGTTTTTTTATCCCCAAGATGGCGCTAAAGATTTTTTAAAAAGTTTTCCGGTATTAAAGAAAAGTTTCATTGCTTATCCTTCTGTTTTGAGACTACCTAACTTATCAAGTAGAATACATCGACCTTCGCTCAGCCTTAGGTGATCGAAACTTTTCAATCTGATACGCGAACTATTCAATTCGGAAGTTTTTTGACAGTTTACATCTACATGATTTATATATTTAAGCAATCAAGACATCCATTGAGGTTTTCTCGTCACTGGGAGAAAAATTCCAGTTTTTATTGTCGTTGGAATCACCACTGAAAACGCTTGAAAATAATATATCACTCGACACCTTCCGATGATTATTTGTGGTACCTGATTTTGAATAAAAAATAATAGATTTTAAATAAAATAAAAAATACCCGTTTTTCATCCCCATTTTTCAATGGCCGGAGCAAGAAGGATAAGCAGTGCTGTGCAAGTTACACAGAATATTTCGAACGCAAAAAAAATTAGTTGAGAACTTGAAAACAAAACATGAAAAAACATAAAATTACCAATTTGTGTGCAAAGGTAAGTTGACAATTGCTGAAATTATCTAAAGTTTGCATCTCGAGGGCGATTTTTTGTCTATACCCTCATGTGATTAAGTGTGAAAAACGGAAAAGTTCAGCCCTGTTTTCCTCAGCACATAACTTTTCTGGAGTTTTTTTTAGAATCTAAATCACAATAGGTTTTTAATGTTAACTTTCTTAAATCATACGAGCTTATATTGAGTTATCTTAAAATGGGCAGTAAAAACCCATCGTATGCCCTAGTTGCCTTCGTTCTTTTTGTGGTGTGGTCGGAACAATTGTTTCGATCTCTCTGAATGTTTTGTTGTGCATCAAAGTATTAGTTTTCCAAATGTTAATTTTGCTAAAATTTGTTAATTTGATCCGTTATGATGTGTAACTGAACCTCCTCGCGTGTTTTCGTTAAGAGTTTAAGGTTTTTTCCTAATTTGTTCATTCAATTTATTCGTTCCTAGTGTTGGGATGACGTATCAGAACAGGCCAAGGAGTTCATCGGCAGACTGCTAGTAGTGAACGTGGATAAGAGACTCACTGCAGACCAAGCACTGCGACACCCCTGGATAGCATTAGGCAGACACTATTCTGCAGGCCAAGGGGGAAGTAAGAACCTCCACAGGACCATCAGTCACAACTTGATGGAGAGGGCCTCGTCAAAGGGAACGAGATCGTCCAAGTCCACCACTGGAACAGGCGGAAACAAGTCTAACAGGTACATTTGTCAAATCGATTTACATAAAAATTGGGGTGTGATTTGAAGGATAGTTTTTGCTTGGTCGTTCCAATCAGGCGATCTTTTTATTACCTTTACGAAAACAAGTGTCTTGTAATCGGGAACTAGATTTTTTTCCGTAAACAACGTGCTTCGATCTTGCTTTATTACCGAATCTCAACAATTTCCAGGTTCCCTCGCACTTGGCCTAGAGGTAACGCCGTCGCTTTGGCACCCCAAGGTCTGGAGTTCGAATCACGGCTGGACGTTTTTTTTTTCAGTATGTACGCGATTAAAAAAAAAATTCCGGTAAAAGATGATTTGTCGGACTTTCGTGTGTCTGCTCAAGTTTTCTCGGCTTAGTTGCCACGTCACGGATTTTTCTTGTGTTTTAAGCAAGTATCATGGTAGTTGCAAATTTTTTCATTGTAGTTTTAGGAGTACTTGAAACTTTAAAAAAAAATTTTATTCGTGTCTTGATTGGCTTGGTTGCCAAGAATTATTGTTTGATTAAAACGTGTATTATAAAATGTATGAGATAGCGTTTTTTTATTTTGCTTTTCGAGACGCTTTTGAATATATTTTTTTCAGAAATCATTCTACCCATTTTCAAAAAAGTATCAATGGAAAGAACGCCTCCTCCCCTGTGTGCCTGCTTTCTACCCTAATCTCTTTTTGTTTTACCCCTCTGTATACATCCTTCGAAAAAGTCTCTGGGGAGAATTTTTTACCCTTAGTTTTAATTTTTTTTAATTTCTCAAAAAATACCGTAACAAATCTGAGGTCTTGATTTCAATGAATAGAAAGGGTTTGAAAAGCTCCCCTGCATTTTTTTTTTACACATAAAGTGATGTAAACCGGATTTGTCAACTTTTTGAATTTTTGATCGTTCTTTTGAATTTTTGAATTTTTTCGACTAGCTATGGTTTTGTACAAAGCTCATTTGTTTAGCCAAGGGTTTGTACAAAGAAACAACTTATCTAAAGTTTTGTACTAAGTTCAAATTCGGAAAAAATTTCAATCCACGTTTCGGTTTCCTTGTACTCTATCTTTTTCCAAGGTTTGATCCTTTATTACACTAGCGTTCAGCTTGTGTATTATTACGAACCTTCTTTTTTTTCTAACCTATCTCGCAAATAAAAGTGTTCATTAAAACTGTTTTTTTTATTTGGAAGTTTCACTATAGTATTGGAAATTGCATAGCATCTGTTCTCTGCTTTACTTGAGGCTTGTGTTTGGTGACTATTAAGCACGTGTACGACACCTAATTTGTATGACACCTAATTTGTATGCGACACCTAATTTGTGTGTGCTTCGCCTCTTTGTAAAGTTTGATATTGATAAAATGAATTCTTGTTCTCATTGTTATTTTTTGTTTTAGGTTGGTTTTAACACCTGCGAAGCTAGTGTATTAAAACGAACCTTCTTTTTTTCCAACCTAAGTCGCAAATATTAGTGCGGCACCCCAAGAATGGTGAAGCACGTTGACAGCTTTTTGATAGCATGTGCTTTGACATTCGAATAGTAATAAATTAACACAGTTGATGCATTTTCAATTCATCAAATGAACCGAAAAAAGCTATTTGTTTGAATTAACATCACAATAATAAAAACTCGATTTCAGAAAATTTCTAATTCAATTTATCTCGCAATTTTCCGAGAAGCATAATTACACAAGCAATGCTTGTGCTATAGCATGAACTATCTTTTTTTTTCCAAACTAAGTCGCAAATTTTGTTGCGACGCAAATATTGTTGCGATAAAATGTGTTAATTTTGAAAGTGTTCATTTTGATAAATAACCAGCGATTACGTACAGCCAATGCTAAGGATATTAACACAGACTAATATTGTTATTGTAACATTCGTAAGCTAATGTTGTCTTGAGCTTAAATTTGAAAAGATATTTCACCTGTGATCTTTTTTGGTAAAGTTATGAGGGTTTAAAGATTGATATTTTGGCCAATTTAACACAATTAACGCGCGATTTATTTCGCGCTATTAACGCGTAAGCGGAGATTTAATTCGTCTTAGAATTCGTTCCAAATCGGTTGAAGGAAGCGTTTTTTGCCATAATTGATTTGTTACTAGAAGCGAAATTCATCTTTTTGTACTGAATATGGCGTATGGGGGGATGATTTTCACAGAAATTCTCAATAAAAAAAATCATTTTAGTTTTATTACATTTAATTTTTTCATGTTACTACTGCTCTATAGACTGCTGTTTAAATGAGACTCGTTAGTTGGTAAATTTCTTTAAATCAAGTTGACTGGTACTGCTAATGCGTCATACTTGGCATGCGTCACTTAAGAAGTTTTGTAGACTCAAAGTTGTACTCATTCAGTTTTTCCCAGTAGCGTTACCGTTCAAATTTTTGCTTGTGTATGCGAAGTGCAACTTCGCCTCTGTGTTTATACATAATGTGGCTTTATGCTTTGCGATTTGTTTCATGCAAAGTTAGTGTGTATGCCTTCAGTTTGTTATATTCCAAATTAATAATTGCAAAATTGAGTCTTTTTTCATTTGGTGCTGAATCGCATTGGCAGTTTGATAGCATATGTAGCTGCTTTATTCGTGACTAGTATTTCTGCTTTGTTAAGCTTGAGTGGCTGAGGGGGTTGTGCTTTAGTCTCAAAATCTTTTGATTGCAGTAGGTCGCAGATTCGAATCCTGCACCTAGCCGAGTTTTTGCTAATGCGAGGCTTATTTCTACTTCTTCGTATTTAGCTTGATAGAGCTGCTTTTTGGGCGTGTTCTCGCAAGTGTTCGCGAAGCACAGCTTAGCCTCTGTCTACTATACTAGGAAGGTCTATAGTTTTTTGAGAAAATGGTGGCCAACTTGCTCCAGCTTTAACTGTGCCCCTAACTCTTTTATCGAGATATACGAAAACTTTGGTTCACCTATTTTTTTTTCAACATTTTCCCTTTTTTACTTATGTTTTTTTTGTTTGTTTTGCATCGCAAGTGGTTTGATTTTTTTGTCTAACTCTTAAAGTGACCATTTGGCCTATGCGAAATCAAAGAACAGTCTTTTTTGAATCCCCTCTTCTGAACTTCTTTGCTTTAAAAAATGATTAGAGAAATGAAATAGATAGTATATTAATAAGTTTTTAAATTGTGTCGAATTGATAGACAAAATGGTTCCCTTTGTTTCATGCTCTAAGATGACATTGTTTATTGACATTTCTCTTCAGGTCTGGCAAGAGCGGTAGGAGTGGACGCAGTGGGAGGAGCTCGCTGTCCAGTGGGGGGAGGTCACTGAGACCAGTGAGTGGACACAAGATCACACCCAAGGACACCCACGAGATAGAGGTCATCAGGAGATCGTGCAGTACATTCAGTCCCCCCAGTAGTACAGACTGAAACTCCTCCCCCTCCCCCTTTACTCTCACTCTCTTTCCTTTCCACTGCCTCTACACCTTTTATAGTGGTTTTGAAGAGTAGCTGGCTCTGCGAGAGGTGCTTCAAAGAAGCGTAGCTTTCCGGACGGTTACAAAGAAGCGTCCTAAATATTAACTACTTACTCCTTCTATACCTAAAAGCACTGGGTCACCCAAATCGGCTAGCATTGAAATTAGTTTTAGTGATGCCTAGCTATGCCTCGTCTATTTGGTCCGAACGACATCGGCTGTTCTGGACGAAAAGAGGTCAAACAACTTGAATTATTGAGAAGAATCCTGAACTGGTTTCTTGGCTCAGCTAGAAAAAACCTTACGAGATGTTGCGACTACAAGCTAAACAAATGATCCTGCCATGTTTTGCCGATGTTTTTGATAGACTAAGAAAAACTAAGTCTATTTTAATGACGTCAACTGAAAGGCGCGGGCCGCCCTCAGTCAGAGACGTGGGTTCTCAAGACAATCAGAATTAGCTCAAATCAATAAGAATTAGTCGTTTTGATTATTCCTCCCACTTAATAGCGAATTTGAGTTGAGTTAGAAAAAAACGAATAAGGTTGATTAAAAGTAAATCTTTTGGCTAATTTGTGCAATTCGTTATTATGATTTTAGCTTACATCAAATTTAGGAGTGGTAGTATTATCGAAAAGAGACAAATCTTTGTGCTGCTAATTTCTATCCAGATGTGTTTATAATTATGATTGAATTATTGCAATCAAAGCCAGCGGATGCTAGAAAAAAATTGACAATCCGTGTTACGATGATTTGCTATGGTCGAATTTGGGCAATTTTCAACCAGTCAGTGTCCTTTAAACTGCCAAAAACTGACTGATTGTGCTGAATGATTATTCTGAAGTTTTGAAAACTGAATTGTGATTGGTCGCTATGATTTTTCCCCATGAGAGAATCCGCCTTTAAAAATTGAACTGAATAAACGCTTGTTGGTAATATGGCAATAGCAGTTTTCAAAATGCAGATTTTTGTATGCTTATTTTTTTTTTGTGTGAAGGTCAATTCAAAAAGGGCATCTCACATTTCTATTTTCTAATTGAGAATTTGGTACGTTGAAAAGTTGCATAACATCAAGTTGTTGTAAATAAAGCATCAACTCAGTTCAATTTTTTGTTCGCTGTTTTTAGGCTCTGCTATTCGTTTCTTTGTATAAGTGCTCTTATTTGAGCCAGAAATTCATCTAATGAACAGCCTTTATTTCCTCCAATGTGCCTTTGAAAACACAAAAATCTATCCTGCCTCTAAGTGCTTGAAGCGAGTTAAACATCTTGCAATATAGCAGAATAAATTTGAAATCAAAATCTTTTAACGATTAATTGATTCGTTTCTTTGTTTTTCATAGTTTTAATTTAGTTACTCGAGGAGCTAACGTTTGTATTTCAAGTGCCGATATAGTTTAACTTCTGAAAATTAACTGCAAGCTAAGCATTCGTGCTGTGATTGATGTGCAATTTAAGAAACTTAAAAAATATATATTTTGGATTTGAATCTAATTTAAAGAATTGAATTTCTTAAAACTAAATTTTTTCGCACAAATTGAAACACCCATGTAATACTTTTGGAAACAGCGTGTGTAGTAAACACGTGTTAAAAGTTCGAGCTTTGGCCTTATTCAGGTGATTTTCGTCTACGTTTTTTTTCGTTTTCAATAGAATCAGGTGTCATAATTGAGTGTCAGACGAGGTGAAGTGATGAAGATTTAAGCTGGTATGAACCTGTTCAGACTTTTCCTTTGTCACGAAGAAATTTTTGACGGTTCAGAATCGTTGTAGACTCAACATATGCTCAAAGCTAAAATGCAATTGTTGTAATTCAGACATGGGCTAAATGGATGTGGTTTACTCGAGTAAGAGAATTTTTTTTATAAAAAGCTATCCTCATCCCCCGAAACTAAGAAAATTGGCAATATTCTTGTTCCGACCATAAAGAGCCAGGATGATCTTTTTCGGGTGTGAGTTTTTGTTGAGTGATATTTGAATCGAGTGATATATCATATCAATGCCCTTTCAATCTGGATTCGGACGACGTTTAAAATAATTCAAAACGATTTCTCAGTGTCAAGATTTACCGATTTGCATTTAAGTCTAATTGCGAGCGAGTATGATTGAAAAAGCTTTTAATTAGGCCGTGCAAAATTCATTTTCCTCCAGAATAATTACTGTTTACCCAAGCTAGCGTAGTGTAATAGTACGATTCTTTTGTTCAACCATAGTTCGAATGAAAGACCTCGTTTGGTGGAACTTTTGCTATAATCACACTCTGTATTGGAATTTTCATATCTGTTCTGTATTTTATTCGTGATCGTGGCTAGTGTTTGTCGATCGTCAAGTGAATGTGGCTCCGAGGAAAGGTAGCGAGACTCCTAATCTACTAGTTGGAGGCTTAATGCGGCAATTAGCACTACTTTTATTTAGATTCGGTGGCACTTTCGCTGCATAGAATTGGCAAGTTGTTAGCTACTGTAGTGGCCTTATTAATGGCTACAGTTACTTTTCAAGTGATCGAATTTTCTATATTAATGTGGTCCGAACTCTCTGTACTACTTGGGCAGCAACTGGCTACTCTTGTCACGATAGTGATTAGCAAGCGTTATCAAACACTTGGGAATTCAAGTCATGGTAATGTCTATCTCTACCTCGGTGCTGTAGAAGTCTATTTAAGAATAATAGAAGTTACATTTGAAAGGTTCCTTTAACTTATAAATGTCATTAAGAGCTAATTTTCCAAGGCGTCTTTGACGCTTGCTGATTTGGATTTTTTGGTCAAGCTTTGAGTCACATTTCTGGTCCTTTTTTAACCAGTCCAACTCGCAAATAAAATTGCTCATTCGGTGGCACGTTCGCTGCATAGCAGTGGCAGGTTAATATCTTGTTTTCCGTTTTTTTAGTGGCTTGTCTTTCCATTTTTTAAAGGTGAGTAGTACAGTTATGTAGGGCAGTCGACTTGTATGCTTTTCAAAGTCTTTAATATTTGTAGGTTGCCTTTTCTCTTTTTTAACCTTTTGAAAGCTATTTCTTGGCGTTTTGTCACTTGTGTTCGCAAGTGCTGCTTCGTCTGTGTGTATAACGCAGTTTAAGGAAGTTTTTATGGGCTTTTGGTTGGCTTTTTATATATGACTTTAAAAAAAACTTTTGATTTTGTTTGGTTTTTTAGTATTTTTTTGTGATTTTGTGGTTTTTTTAGTATTGAATTTTTGATTTGTTTCAACTGCTCGAATTTAATTGCAATCAATTATTTATGAAAATTGTTTCGTAGTTTTCCTGTTTGCATTTTTGCATCGCAAGTGACGAGAAGCTCCGCTTCACCTGAGTCGAGTTGCTGTGCAAAGTTCGAAATCCAGGCAGTTCAATGCTTGTTTTTATTTTTAATTTGGTCAAAAATGATTTTAATCTGAAGCTTAATGACGCCCTGATCGTTTTGAATCTCTCCCAATAATGAAAAAAAAAAGTTTCCGAAAATTTCCCCACCGCTATTGTGCGCCACCCCTCTCAATGCTGTCTGAACAGAAAAGATAAGATTTGAATGCGAAATTGGCAGGTGTGTGAATAGAAATGACATGGTTTTGATTTTGTTTCTAGATATGTTATGTTGCTGCCGAACAGAAACTGTCACCGGTTGATCCCCTGGCCGTCGCTCAATTCTACAACCAGGCGCAGCAGTTGGTCGCAGACGTCACAATTAGTTGTTGACGTCACTACAACAAACTAACCACACCCACTTCTCGCTCCTGTTTTCACTTGCCCCACCCTCAGAGGTCCCTTATGTGTCTCAAATGTGTCAAAGCCGACTTCCCGGTTAGTAACTAGTGTAAAGAAAATCCTACCCATAAATGGAAATAGCTAACAAAGACGTCCAATTATATCTTATTTCAATAGTGGTTAGGCGAATGCAAGGTGTATTTTTTAACAGTGGGTAAGCAAAGTGTTTTTTGAACGACATGAAATAGATGACTTAGTATTTGTCGATGTTTTTCTTATATGGTGGATAGACTTTTGTTTTGACTAGAAGTTTGCTCTGGAAATACTTGTTCGAAGTGCCGCTGAAGTTTAGCTCTCTGAGAGCAAGTGTGAAAAAAGTGTGCAAATTTTGCATATTTCCAGGTTTCGAAAATTAATTTAGTTAATTTAGAGTAGAAACGTTGACTTTTAATGTGTTTCTCTTAAGACTTAGTGATATCTGTTTTTATAAAATTGAAAAAAATGCGTTGGTTCTGTTCGATCCAAGAACTAATGTTTTTTTTTTTTTAAAGTTAAAATTAAAAAAAAAACAGCTGAGTATTTTTTTTACTAGCGTTCATTGAGTTTTTCCCATTTTTTGTCGTGTTGACTATGTTTGTCTTGTCTTGGTTTTTTCTGTCCTGATTTCAATGTTTGAGAATCAAAATTCATTTTTTGCTTCTGTTGAAGGAACTTAATGATGTCAGCAACAGTCTGCCTTATTCATTTCACGCGATCTGTTGTAGATTGCGGAGCGGGTGGTGTTGAGTGTTCGGGACATCTCAGAGGAGACTAGGAGCAACTTCGCCCAGTGTGTGAGGTGTGGCAGCAAACAGGAGTGCACAGTCGCCAATTACAAGGACTACACCACTAGTACGAGTCCAAATCAGAACCATCAGAGCCATAACCAGACGACACACCATAGTAACAATCATGGACATACCGTTGCCAATAATGCAGGAACAAGACAACAATATCAGCATCATCAGGCACACACGGTTTCGTCGAATAGTAACGGACATTCGCAGTGCAAAATCAGACACGTTAACTTCCAGCGTGAGTTGACTCAATCGTGGGTTTCTTGTGGGGTAGGGTTCAATTAAGGAACCAGTTTGCATTGAATCAGCGGCAATTACAACGAGCTATTTGAGTTGAAAAGAAATTAGTATGGTATGGTTATTATAGGAACACTCAAACAGATAGTTGGGATCCTGGTCAGTTAATATTGAGATATTGCTATGCCTTAATACCAATAGACTATGGTTAAATAGAATAATGATTGATATAATTGGACCTGATTTCTTACGATCTAGTTCAAAAAACTGTTTTGATACATTCGTTTCTGCGTGTAGACGTATGCGTACAATGTGGCCATGTAGTGGCAGAACACAGTTGCAGTGCAAGCAGAAGCGAAATACAATCACAAAAACAAACGCAGACATCTCATGCGACTCCTGTGCAGTCTACTCACAACAAGAGCAGTAGGGCGAGTAATGGTCAAAGTCTCAACCATCTGAAGAGTGAAAGGGAGCGAGAGGTAAATGGGTCAGGGCAATGTTTCTAAAAAGTTTGATAAGAGAAGTTGAATAGCCGCATGTTGGATTACCTTCTGTTAATTCATCTTCTAACTTTGGATTTAGCTTGCCCAAAGTTTCAAAAAAATCATAATTGAAGTTGGTTTAAAGTTTTGGCCCGAGTTTGGTGAGGTTTATTACGAAAGGGACGTTATCAATGGATCAGAGCTTACTACGCTTTTAAGGACGGAAATAATTGTTTTTTGAGAAGAAATTGGCCCGAGTGACCGCTTTGATGTCTATAACCCTAAATAGTAGGAGGGTTTTTTTTTATTAAAAAGCTGACTTTAAATGCTGACTGGGGAATGTATGATCTCGTATAATGTTTGCAGGTGGAAGTTGAAGTGGAAGTGGACATGACGTGTATGTTGTGTGGCACTTTTGAAGACACCTACACTACCACGGCAGCCTCGCCAAGGACATCATCAGGAACTACTGAGAGAGAACCCACATCTCATAATCAGAGCCAGGTAGTTCATCACAAAACTTGTTATAGTTTTAGTTCAAGTTATTCGATCAAAACGAATAAAACTTAACCTTGTACGAATTTTTTTGAAGTTAAGTTGACTTCATACAGATAAATGAACGCTAAACCTTCTTAGAATTCTGCCAGAATGAATTATTAATTAACAATTTTTATGCGGACGTTTTGATCAAATAAATCGTTGTGAGTCCGAATTTGGCAAAACCAAATGACCCTTGTAAATTAACACAATACACAATACAAAAAATGGGGCGAGTGTGGTGGGGCTTTGTTTTTAGAGCGAAAACTTTTTCTTAGATACTAATGTTGAATGTTGAGAAAATATCCAACGATGCATAAGTAATTTGTATGTTTTCTCAGAACCACAAGAGAGACGATCACGATAGGAGAGATAGAGGGGACAGAGATGGTAAGAAAAACCAAGGGGGAGGGGAGGTAAGACCGGAGTTGATGACGAGGTGAAATTTCTGAGCCCATCCAGATTGGAGACGAAGCCCTACATAAAGCAGCTATATTGGCAGACGAACCTTACGCGACTGAAATTCATAACGCAGAAAGACTATCTTTGAAGACTAGTTTCGGAAGTTATCATCAGCGAGAATGTAAAGATAAACCATGAAAACTAAATCAGACTGCGTTCAACTGAGGTTTAATCAATTTTGGTGTTTCTTGCTGTATGCGAGAAAAGCTAAAACCATCCTAATATCTGTCGCTATTTCTATTCGCGTTGTTTTTCTAAGTTTTGCCCACTCTCATCTTAGATGCTAAGAACTTGGGAAGCCTTGCTAGAGAAATTCTTGGTTTTCCAATTCTTCAACGAGGTTCTTTATCTTGCCCGAATTTAATGTGTCAGCAAGCCAGAAAAGTTGCAAACCGCTCACCGCTGAATGACATGGTTTTTCTTGTTCTAAACGATTGCGTGCAGTAGATTTAGTTGAGTGCAGCTTTGACTCCCTTTGAGTGGGTGAAAATTGAGATGATGTATGTGACGGGCCGATAATGCAATAAATTGATTCTTTTTGTTTTAATCTCTGAAGCATACTTGTATGTGAGTACTTGTATGTGAGTTTTTTGCGTTATGAATACAGTGCTAATATATTTTATCCGGACAAGACAAAAAACTTGAAACTTAAAACTCAAATTGGGTTGACTTAAGACTAAAAAAAAGATTACGACAAGTTTTGCTTTGAATTTGAACAGAATTAATATGACTCAATTTATTTTTGGAACATTCGGATCCGAAACTCAACCCCAAAACTACCATTTCCGGCCTTTTTAGTCAATCAAAAATTACGCCAAAAGTATTGGTTCAATTCAGTGTATTGACGTATAATGGAAAAATCGTATAATCCGACTATCGTATAATGTATGATCGTATATTTTGGCTTTCGTATAAAAAAGGTATAATCGTATAATTTGAGATCTAAATCCTTGCTCAATTATAGCAACCGCTCAAGGCTTTTTAGATTGTTTTTGTTGCTCGAGTATTTTTTATTCGAAAATCTCTGATTGATCTCAGAAAATTTTTATCTTAGAGTTGAGCCGCCCCTAATATTGATCATCATGCAATACTCAGTTAAAAGTTTTTTGTCTCATAAAATTTAGCCATTTATCGGTTTCGTATAATCGTATCATTTATCGTATAAATCCGATCTCTCGTACAATCTTATGTCGTATAAGGGTTTTTCTGATTAATTTGTCGTATAAGTGTACAAAACACGCCTTCAATTGCTGAAAAAATTATGTCAAAAAGAGCGTCGTATATTTCCCAACAAAATTTTAGACGAAAATAATTGCCTCAGTTTTGTCTAAATATATTTTTTTGCTTGATAGCTAGAAAATGTCAATTTAACTATAAAAAGCTGCAATTTTTAAAAACAATTTTCAGAAGTTTTTGCGCTAATTTTTGGAGATTTTGCTCCTCCAAAATTTTGTTGGGCTATAAAAGAGGCTTTTTTGACCTATTTTTTCCAGCAATTGAACCACTAGTTTTTTAATGATTTTGATTGACTAAAAGCCGAAGATTGTTTTTTTTTGAGTTTGGCCGAATTTCGAGAAATAACTTGCTTCTTATTAATTCTTATTCAATTGTTAGCAAGATTTGTCCTCAGCATTTTTTTTGGCTAAACCAATCAAGTATTTAGCAAAACGTTTTAAATTTCAAGTTTTGTCCGGATAATTGAAATCAGCGCTGTACTAGCTGAAAAACTAATTGAATGATTGAGGGTGAAGCAACATTACCCAGCCCAGAAAAATAACCAAAAAAATTGCATGTAGTTCTTAAACGGGCACAACAGCGGTTCGTTGTGATGAGCTGTACAGCTCTTGTGTTTGTACTTTCCCCAGTGAATAAATGGTCTTAATGATAGTTATTCTTTTGAATTGCATTCGGTCCATTGACATATGTCATATGTTTGAATAAGTATCAAAATTGAAAGTAGTGTTAGGATATATTTTATTTTTGGTATCAATAGCTCGCCTTCTCTTGAGTGCAGTTTGTCTTTCCTTTTTTGTCATCATAACAGGATTACCACAGTTAAAAGTTTCTTCCTTTGTTAAGCTCTAATCGCCTATACAAACCCCAGATATGTATGAAAATAAAAAAAAAAGTGGGTCCTAGTACTTCATGGTTTATAGTACCGAATCTGTCCCCAATTGCAATGAGTGATGATAGTTCAAGAGATCCAAATTATAAAAATTAGGAACAACAGAAACTTCAGAGAATAAAATCGAAAACCTCTTGTGATTTATTGCTGGATTTTTGATACAAAACTCTTTATTGTGGTAAGCTTGCAAAATATTACTTAGTGATAGCTTTATATAAGCTAGATTTGACATAGTAGAGTATTTTGTTTTGAAAAAAAAACCAATGCAATCAAGTTGTTTACAAACTGAAACTTATGGTATCGAAGAGATCAAGTTTTTGTTCAGCTGTTTTCATCTAAGTTTAAATTTGAAGATTGCTACGAGCAAGGCAGTAGGCGTTTTTTTAAAAACATATAGCCAAATTTGTCTGTCACTTTTTAGACAAAATCATGAAAAACTGTTATGGACGTGTTACTTTCGGTTGAACGTTGATACCGATCAGTTTTTTTTGGTTTTCTTATTTGTTGACATTTTTTTTGTAAAATGTCAAATCATCCGCAGACTAAAGCTAAAACCAAATTTTGTGGGCATCAGTAAACACTTAAAGTTGAAGGGCAAACAAGAAATTATAATCAACAGCATTGTATGATTTGAAAAGCCTCAGTTTACAAGAGATCTTAGTAGCCTCATTTCGTTTGTTAGTTATACACTTAACGAAATAATTTTTAGAAAATCTGATATGGAAATTATATTTTCTGCCAATTAGAAGAAAATCAACATCACAAAATGCAAGCAGGGCTAAAAACAGATTTTGGTCGTTAGTCCTTGATACGATCATTTTTGCTTTAACGAGGAAAAATTATTTAAAATTCGCTGCTGCGTTTTTAACAGAAACCCAACATCTTGTTCCAAAATTTGACTATTAGACTGCGACCAGGAAATTTTTTTCTTATAACAGATTTTCAAGTGTGAATTTTGTCTTAAGAAACTAGGTGTTTAGAAATTTTTCCTACAAGAAGTAGCAAAATAACCTTCTGTAGTAACATAGTTTCGTTTTAACCCAATTTCAATCCAACGTAATTATCAGTGTCTCAAAAGTTCCAAATAAAACTTTCATGATTGATTACTCAAAATTTTTTTGAGACCAGTTTATTATAAGTACATTGTGAAAAGTTTTATATGAAAAGAAATTTTCCAAGTTTTTAAAGTTAATTTTCAAAAATTGAATGAATGTTTCTGTCCTGTTTAATTATTGGGCCTTGGAAACAATCGTTAATTGTTAAAGGACATCTTAAAATAATTGAGGACGAGTTCTTCGTAAAATTTTGTGGCAAATCATTTTAAACGTACCTAGATCTGTGTATTTTTTTATGAAACTATCGTAAAAAACAAGCCAAACAAATATGAAAAAAGTTATTAGACAATTTCGAGCGTTCTCTCAATCTCTTGCCGCAACAAAGTAGAATTTACTCAAAAAAAAAATAAATGAATTGTTTTAATTGGGAAAACAAAACTCCGTGTTGGACAAAACAAACCTGTCACCAGAAAAGTAAAGTTTAACAGAAAACCAAAGTAAAAATGCATGCCACAAGTTATGAAAAAAAAAGTGCTAATATAACATGACTATCTGGTAGGCAGGTTTCAAAAACGGGTTAGAATTGAGTCTGAATCAAAAAGAAAAGTAATTTATTCATACACTATTCAAATTCATTAACTTTATTGCTTATTGACCTTTTTCATGTATGTGGTAACTGCTGAAAAATATTGGTTTAATTTTCTTGTTATTGCTAACTTGAGAAGTAATCTATTCCATTTTTGGAACATTTTCTGGAAATGACAAATTCTAACTTGAATGTTTCATATACTCTTTTTTGTTCAATTTTGTTTTTTTTTATAAAAAAAGATCTTGTAATTTTGACGATTAGCTTATGATTTTGACGATGGTTTTCTCTTTTACAATTTGAAACTAAATGATAAAAAGAATTTTCAGCCGGCAATTTTCATGATGAAAATTTTTCGAACTAATTTTCGAGCTCGTTCAGCTGGAAAACAAAGCATTTAAATTAGTTTCTGTCGCTGTATTCACGTTTTATATTCGAGTAAGTTTTTTATTCGCTCAGTTTTTGTGCAATTTTTGTTTCAAAAAGAAACTTTTACCATAAACCGACTTCGAACTTCATTGAAAAGAGCCAAAAAAGTCACGTAAAATTTTATTAAAATAAACTGTCCAAATTTTCATGCTGCTTCAATTGGGACTAAGCAAGTGCAGTTGGTGGTTACGTTTTTTCTGCACAAAAGATTTGAGAGGAAATCTGCGATTTGTTTTCTCATCGCTGATTTTAATCTGAAGTTTTTAATTGCAAATTTTAGGGATCAATTATTTATGATGAAAATAGCTTAAGGCGTCTAGCAAATCATTCAATTAAGGCAGATTTTAGTAACTATTGAAGCATCCATCCGAAAAAAAATGTTTTGTCAAAGTTTGATTGTGGAATAAATTATTTTTGAAGACAAGCATGTCTCATTTGCAGCCCAAAGTTAAGCCCAGTGGCGAGCGCAGAATCGGACACTTTTTTTTGCAAATTTCAAAAATCAAAAAATGATTGTCCATTTTTTAAATTATGATGAAAAGCTAATCATTCAAATCATTTTAGAGAATAATACAGTTACATATACAGTTCTTTTCACGAAGAAATGCTAGTCATATTTTCCCAACTACTTGTGGATACATGGATTGTATGGAACTGTTAGTAGTTTTCCTATGAAAGGAACTTGTAGGATAAGCATTTTTGTCAACTGTATGTCAAAAGCGCGCTCTTACTAAAAAAAACTTTTTCGTAGAGTGGTTTAATTGTATTGGAATAGAAAATTGGTGTTGAAATAATTGAAATAGTTCAAAAATTTGAAGATGATCTTCGTAAAAACTTCAAGCGGATAATCTTAAAAGTTCCAAGATATATGATTTTTTGAAAGATTTTCATTTCTAATAAATGAAGTTTTTTAAAAAAAAAACATCAAATTTGAAATTTGGTCATATAAACTCCAGTCTTTCTTTTCACCTCTTGCCACCGCAAAAGTGACGAAACCCAAAAAATGAACAAAATGTTTAAACTAGAAAAGCAAAATGATGTCTTTGACGAACTTTTTTCCTGAATGGTAAAGTAAAACAGAAAAGTATACTAAAAAGCATGTCTTGAAATAAAAAATAAAAAGGGATTATATAAAATCATGTCACATGTTAGAATTAAAACTTATCCAAACAGAGAAGTATTTTGTACATATGTGATTTAAGTTCATTAAGTTTTTTAAATATTATTGACAGTTGTTATGTACATGTGTTAACAGCTCAACTTAATAGCTTGATTTTTTTTGAATTCTGTAATTTAGGAAGTAATTCATTTAATTTTTTTTACCCATTTTCGGTTAATCAGAAACTGAACTTCCAAGTTTAATTTTCTCTTTTGTGCTCAATTTCGACTAGTTTTCAACAAGATTTAAAAATTTTGACACCATTTTGCATGGTTTCTACTTTTATAGAAATAATTTCTAATAAATTGTTAAAAAACTTTCAACCCGCAAATTTTGCGATGAATATTTTTTTACAGAAATAATATATTTTTTTTGTCAAATAACAAATCACAATAGCTATCAAGCTAATTTCGCTGGAGTAATTTTTTTCATCCTGTTTTCCCCTTTTCTGTTAGAGTCTTTGCAAAAGATGTAAGTTTATCTTCAATAATGCATTTCGTTTACTCAGTTTTTCGGGGCAATCATTGTTTCAAAACGAATTCTCTGATTTTTTCTCTAAAAAACTGATTTAAGATAGCATTCAGGGATTAGTGAGTGCAATTCGTAGTTACACCTTTTCTAATCTTTTCAGACAGAAAGTATTCAAGAGAGAATCTACAATTAGTTCAGTTTTCTCAACTGATTTTTTATCTGAAATTTTTGAATGAAATTTCTGACAGTCAATTTTTTTCGCTGAATTTCGCTCAAGGCATGGAGCAATTCATTCATCTATGGCTTACTTCAGAAACTAATAAAAGGACCATCAAAAATAAAGTCTTCCTTAAATATTGATTGTCAAAAAAAGACTTTAGAGTACTATTATGTCTTATTTGCTGCCTTCAGTTTTGCTAAATGGGAAGCACAAAAAATTAAATATGGTTTTATTTTCAGCTTCAAG